AAGAAAGAAAGAAAGAAAGAAAGAAAGAAAGAAAGAAAGAAAGAAAGAAAGAAAGAAAGAAAGAAAGAAAGAAAGAAAGAAAGAAAGAAAGAAAGAAAAAGAAAGGAAGAGAAAGAAAGAAAGAAAAGGAAGAAATGGAAGGGAGGGAGGAAAGAAGGAAGAAGTTACATTCTTCCCCCCATTGGGGGAGGAGTACATCATGCATACAAATAAGTAAATACTACCACAGATAAATTTCAAGTCGATTCTACTAGTATTTAAGTGCCTACCATATGTAAGGCACTGTATTAGCCAAGAGGGATACAAAACTAAAATCTTAATTGTCTCTGCCCTTGGACAGTTTTCATTCCAGCAGAGGGTAACTGCATGCACACAGGTAAGTGAGTACAAAATATATAAAGAATAATTAAAGAGACAGCAGGGGTGGGGGATGATGGGAAAGCTTTCCCTGGGAGGCTTCTCCTAGGCTGTGTGTACTGGGTCAGCAGCTGGTGACTGTAGCTGTTGCCTTCACTAAAACACACAAGTAAAATGGTGCTCAGGTGATCACACTTTCACTGATCTTTGTAGAGACCTTGGTCAGCTATAGTATAGATAGAAGCCTGAGCTTTATCTGGTTTTGTAATGGGAGGGGGAGGAGGGCAGGGACTGGTAGGAGAGCAGTTGTCCTTCCCAATAACTAAACCTAGACAGGTGTGACTAGGAAGATAACTCTAGACTCCTGCCTTCTATTTCTACTTCCTAATGAATAATAACTGGAGAGGTGAAGGTTGAAAAAATATGATACCATTATGTTGGGTAATACAACAGCATTAAATACAAATAAAAAAGGAGCAGCCTGACAGCATTAACTGAAATCTGAAGTCGCTGCTTTCCTTTGATTTCATCTTCTTCCTTCCCTGAGGCCACTGTGAAGAAACCAAGAACTTTCAAAGGAATAATTTTGAATTAAGAAAGAGGAGAAACCTAGGGGAAAAAATAAGTGGCTATTTCTCAGTCAGTCTGGTTTTCACTCTTTAGAGGAAATGTTTAGTTGAAGGATTTTTTTATTCACTACCCATGTGACCCATCCCTCTTTGAGCCTCAGTTTCCTCATATGTAAAATGAGGGGGTTGAAGTTGACCCCTTCCAGCTCTAAATCTGTGATCGTGCCTGTAGAGTACCTACCCACACCTGTAAGGTATCTACCCACCTATCCACCTCTATTTCCACTGCCTCAACTTTAAGAGCCAATGAGAGAGATTAATGTCAGTCTCTCTTCAGCCAGATAGTCTATAAGCAAGAGCTGTCTCTAAGGTATAAATTCATCAACATAGATGCTGAAGAGCAATGATAACTTTTACAGAGCTCTTTCAAAGGAAATCAACATGCAGGATTTGACCAGACCTTCCCATTTGCTCATTAAGAAACATCCAACAAGGGCTTACTCTGTGCCCCAAATCACCAAGCGCTTGCTATAGCAGGTGCTTCATCAGTAACATTCCCACTGTAGGGTGGAAAACATCAGCATTAGTTGCTTGAAGGAAGTCTACTTCTAGTAACAGGAATCATGCCTTCCATTTTCATGAGAAGCATGACCTTCCCAGATCTCAATGTTTTGTTTTGTTTTGGTTTTTTTCCAGTCTGGCCTAATTTCTTCCATGTCCTAGGCCTTTTAACCTCTGCTGATTTGCATTCAGAGCATCCACATATTGGCAAAGAACAATGTCCTATTATTATTCACTTGGTATTTCTCTTGTATGACCACCACAGTCTTCTGCTATCTTGACATATTTATAGGTTTAAAGCTAAAACCTTTATTTTTCCATAGCTCTCTTGGGTGGGGGGAGTGTATCTTCAAATATTTCTTTTTAAGATAATCTTTGTGAAGAGCTATTAGTACAGTGCCTGGCACATAGTAGGCACTATGTAAATGCTTATTCCCTTCCGTCCTCCTCCAATCCCCAATTCAATAAGTTTTTATTAAGTGCCTACTATGTGCCAGGCACTGAGGAAACAATGACAAAAATAAAACATACACTGCCCTCAAGAAGCTTACCAAAAAGAAGAAAAGGTTAAATAAAGATAACATAATACAATTTTATTAATAATAATAGCTAGAATTTACATAATACTTTCAGGTTTGCAAAACACTTTACATATTTTATTTCATCCGATCCTCACAACAGCTCTGGGAGGCAGGTGCTATTATTATTATCCTCATTTTACAAATGAGGAAACTGAGGCTAAGAGGTTCAGTAATTTCACAGACAGTAAGTGTCAGAGGCAGAATTTAAATTTAGGTCTTCCTGAGTCTAAGGTCATCACTCGGTGTGTCCCAACACCTAGCTGTCAGCAGATTTCTCACCGAGCCAAAAATCAATACACTTGGGATATCTCAGGACCAACAATGCCCTTTTCAAACTTTGCCTGGATGTATTTAACTACTAAGCAAAATCTCTCCTTCGACTTCAAATTAAACCCAGTATTGTCATTGTAGCATGGGAGGCTTTGAAGCCTCAGATAGGGGCCAGACTCAGGATAAGTCTGGAATCTGGAATCTGGAATCTGAGCGGGTCCTATGGACAACTGAGGGGAATCTGAGCAAGAGCGACCCCTGCAGGTCAGATGGGAGTACAGCCACCAAGCCCAAGTGAAGAGCTCATCACCCCACTCAGGAAGAGGGCCAGGAGACCGCCAGCAGCTAAACAACCATTAAACTGCTCCAGTACTTACTCAGAATCTAGGTAGTCAGCTACCAGGTGGTTCTTTGTTGCGGTGTCGCAGAGATTTTTGGTCAAATACAAACTGGACTAGACATCTGGGGGCTTCCAGCCCAGAAATTTATATATCCATAAGTAAAATATGACTCTAAAATTAAAAAAAAATTACCATACGATTAATTTTAATTTGTTGATAAACCTGACACTTGCAAAACAATTGATATGAAACAACTGAAGAATAATTGTAATAATAATAATAATAATAATAACTGGCATTTACTTACTGTTTTAAGGTTTGCAAAATGCTTTACGTATCATTTGTTTGTTGGGTTTTTTTTTAGAATTCTCGCAACAAGCCTGCAAAAGGTAGGTGCTATTATTCTCATTTTGCAGTTGAGGAAACTAAGGTTGGAAAAGATTGACTTGCCCAAGATCATACAGTGAAGTGAGATTTGAACTCAGGTCTTTCTGATTCTAAGTCCAGTCCTCTATGCATTGCACCACCTAGTTTCCTTGAAAATAACTATAATGACTCATATTTATATACCACTTTAAAGTTTCCAAAGCACTTTATAAATATCTCTAGTTGAGACTTAATTTTTTAAAAACCTATTTTAAAATGTTTAAAAACATTGATTGAACTCTCATGCCATTAGTAAATTTGTTCTGCAGAAATTCTTTCTAAAGACCCAAAAAAGAGACATTCTGGGGGTGTGGGGGGGGAAGGCAGTGCGGCATAATAGAAAGAACATTGGACTTAGATGCAGAGGACTAGAGTTCAAATCTAGCTACATGGTCTTGGGCAAATTATTCTCCCAGCCTCAATTTCTTCATCTGTCAAATGAGGGAGTAGATTATATGACCTCTGAGGACCCTTCTAGCTCTGAGCCTATGAAAATAGAGGAGATTAAAAAAGAAGGCTCCAATAGATTGCCTAAACCAAAATTGTTAGGGCATACTTACGATAAATAATAATAATAATAATAGCTATTATTTATATAGTGATTACTATTATTTCATTTGATCCTTACAACAACCCTGGGAGGTAGGTGCTATTATTATCCCCATTTTACAGATGGGAAAACTCAGACAAACTTAACTGACTTGCCCAGGGTCACAGTTAGTAAGCATCTGAGGCCCAGTTTGAATTCAGGTCTTTCTGACTCCAGTCCTGCAGCTCTGTCAACTGTACCATCTAGCTTTAAGAGAAAATTATATGAGTTCATAGCTCTGCAAAAACCCAGTGATTTCAAAATGAATGACCCAAGGTATTCAATCACCTGATCCTTTCAAAGGTTTGAAACTACCTTATCTCAGTAAGCCATAATTTCCTCTCTGTGTACTTTCCCTCCACCGATACCAGTTTCAGCTCTTTTAAACTTGGTAGAAAGTCTCTAAGAATTGATGAGACAGGTTAAACAACCTTGTGATGAACCTGTCAAAACTTAGCTAGGCAGGTTCTTGTTGTCCATCACTGAATCTGAATTCAAAGCCTCTCCAAGTTCATAGCATCTGTAGGATCTGAAAGGTTGGCAATGGAAAAAAAGAATAAGCTTGTTCTGCTTAGCCCCAGTGGGCATGGAATGATGAGTGGAAAGTAGCCAAGAGGTCCATTTAGGCCTGATATAAGGAAAGACTTCCTCATAATTAGAGCTATTAGAAATGGAATGCACCACATTGGGAGTTAAAGGACTTACCCTCATTGGAAGTCTTTAAGTACTTCTGGATTATATCAAAGAGCAGATTCTTTTATTTCAGGTATGGGTTTGAACTAGCCACACTCTGAGGTCCTATCCAGTTCTGAAATTCTGTATTTTTCTGATCTGCTTCAGTTTGTGTTCCATGGACAGAGACACCAAGAGCTGGGTCAATTCCAAGCCATGATGAGGCAGCAGAGATCTTGTGGGACAACCTAAATAAGAAAAAAAAAGTTTTCTTTAAAAAAAAAAAAAAACAGGGGCAGCTAGGTGGCGCCGTGGAAACAGCACTGGCCCTGGAGTCAGGAGAACCCAAGTTCAAATCCAGCCTCAAACACTTACTAGCTGAGTGACCCTGGGCAAGCCACTTAACCCCCATTGCCTCCAAAAAAAAAAAACCCCACAAAACAACAACAACAAAATAATCCTCTCCCTCTATGATACCTAGCATGAAAAATGATTGCCAGAACCAGCAAAATTTTTTATTGCTGGCCTGTGTGCTATAGGCCAGGAGCAGACTGAATGAAAAGTCCTAGCAGAGGTTAGCTTGCACCATGTGCCCAGATGTGGAGTATGGATAAGACAGGTGTGCTGATGCGAATCCCAGAGCCACCAGGGGCAGACTTGCACTCCTTCTTCTTCGAATAGACTTGTCTTTGGTATCATTAAGTCTTCGTTTTCCTGGACACTAAAAATAATGCAAGGGTTTGCACACCCGTGCCATCCTCCCACTCTCTGACCCATAAATAAATATGCAAACCCTTCATTTAAAACACAGATGTTCCTTGCTGTGACTACACAACTCTATTCAACACATAGTTTGGATTCTGGAGATGTTGATCACTTCCAAAGTGATCTGGCTTCAGTCAAAAGAATTTAGAGCTAATACCTGCACATTACAAGTACCCTCCCCACTCCAAGGGACAATAGAAAGTTAAATTAGATGATTAAAAGTGATATAACTTGCTGCCCTGCATTACAGTGAATTAAGATAGCAGTGTCCAAGAATGATTAATCTTTATTTCAGTTACCCCCTGAAAACAACGTGCAGAGATTAAGTGAAATGTGCTTAATCTTGTTAGTGGGCAGAATTTGGAATTTGCACTTTATTCTTGCCTAAGACTGGCTGAACAGGGTGGCATCACTTAAGATGTAAATTTACACCTTTTAAAAGCAGAAAAGTGGCAACCCAGTGTGCTCTGTTTTACAGCTACCTAGAAGATGCTTTTTTCAGAAGCTACTGAAATGTGTCTCTTGGGCTGTAGGACAGGAAGACAAAAAATGAAATCATATCATTAGTGCTCAATCAGTGCGCTAGGTAAGCCACTTTCCAAGATATCTGTTCTTCCCTCCTTTGAAGCAACATGACAAAGACCTTGGGGACCAGTAAAAGACACTCAAGGTTTGGTTTTGTTTTTAAGGAAAAAACACATTGCTTAATGGGGCATCTCCATGTCCTGAGACCAGACCCTCAGTCATATTCCAAGGGAATAGGTTTGTTTTCTGGTTGTTGTTGTTGTTCAGTCATTTCAGTTGCATACAACTCATCATGACCCTATTTGGGATTTTCTTGGCAAAGATCTTAGAGTGGTTTGCCATTTCCTTCTCCAGGTCATTTGACAAATGAGGAAACTGAGGCAAACAGAGTTAAGTGACTTGCCCAGGGTCACACAGCTAGTAAGTGTCTGAGGCTGGATTTGAACTCATGAAGATGAGTCTTCCTGATTCCAGGCCCAGTGCTCTATCTGCTGTGCCACCTAGCTGTAAACTGCTATAACCAGTGAATCAATCAATCAACAAGCATTTGCTCACTATGTGCCAGGCAATACTCTTCCACGAAACTCCCTCTTTACTTCCCACCTTCTGGAATAAGGCATATGGGGATCTTACTGTGTAGTTGAAAAGTTAGGATTGATAAACATATTTTTAAGATTTCCTGAGAATAATGATGCAAAGTTGGCTTACAGATGTGGAAACCATTCATAGGCTCTAGAGGCCAAAGGCATCTTGGAAAACATCTAGTGCCTCCTACCCTCTCATTTTATAGAAAAGAAAACTGAAACTCAAAAAGGGAGTGTCTTGTCCAAGGTCCCCTGGGGAATCAGTGGTTGAACCCAGATTTAAACCTAGGGCCTTCCCATTACATTACCTTGCCTCTTTCCTAGAGCTATTTTTCTTCATTCAAAGCAAATGTGACAAACAAGATGCTGACTACACCACCCACAAGAAACCATAAAGTAAAAGTAAAGCTAGCTAAGTAGCACAGGGAAACTAGGTGGTGCAGTGGTTTGAGCATTGGGCTTGGAGTCAGGAAGACCTGAGTTCAAATCTGGCCTCAGAAACTTCCTAGCTGTGTGACTTTGGGCAGGTCACTTAACCTCTGTTTGCCTATGTATGTGATCCACTGGAGAAGGAAACGGCAAACCACTCCAGTCTTTGTCAAGAAAATTCCAGATGGGTTCACAAAGAGTCAGACAAGACAGAACAACAACAAAGCTTTGTGGGAACACAGTGATAACTAGGTACCCAGCTTTGACTATCCTATGAATAGGTACCACAGGGGTTAGAGCACGGAACCTGGAGTCTGGAAGACCTGTGTTCAAATCCAGCCTCAGATACTTACTAGCTGTATGGCCCTGGGTCAGTCACTTAAGTTCTCTATGCCTCAGTTTCCTCATGTGTAAAGTGGGGACAATAATAGCACCTACCGCCCAGGGTTGTTGTGAGGATCAAAGGAGATATTATTTGTAAAACACTTTGCAAATCTTAAAGTGCTATATAAATGCTAGTTATTGTTGTTGTCACTGTTTCACAGAGGCAAGCTAAACAATGTAGTAGAGAGAGAAGACTAAACTTGGAATCAGGATAAAAACTAAGTTCAAATCCTGCCTCAGACACTGACTAGCTATATGGCCCTGGGCAAGTCATCTAACTTCTCTGTGCCTCAGTTTCCTTGTCTGTAAAATGGTAATAATAAATGAAATAACATATGTAAGGTGCTTTGCAACCCTTAAAACACTATATAAATGTTTGCTAATAGTAGTAGAAACAGAAAAATATCTATTTTGTCATTTTTATCTTCATAGGAGTAGAGAGCTAGGGCTGGAAGGGACCTCTGAGTCCATCTGAGTCCCCTCATTTTACTAATGAGGAAACTGAGGCCCAGAGAAGTGAAGGGACTTGTCCAAGGTTTCATGGGTAATAAGCATCAGAGTCAAGATTTGAACCCAGATCCCCTCACTCGAGAGTCATTGATCTTTCTACCATACTGTGATTTGTTCACTTGTGAAAGGAGGGTATTACATTGTTTATAACACAGATAGATGGATAGACAGATAGATAAATAGATGAGAGATAGATAAATTTACAAATAGATGAGAAATGGATAACAAGCATTTATTAAGCACCTACTATGTACCAGGCACTCTGCTAAGCACTCTACATGTTATCTCATTTGTTCTTCATAATAACTCTGTGAGATAGGTGCTATTATTATCTCATTTTATAGATGAGGAAACTGAGGCAGATAGGTTAAGTGATTTGCCCAAGGTCAGTTAGTAAGTGTCTGAGGTCAGATTTGAACACAGATTTTCCTGATTCCAAGTCCAAGTTTCTATCCACTATACCATCTAGCTGCCTCAATATAATATAACAAATATAACATGTTATGTTATACAATATAACATAACACAACACAATATAATATAGCATAATATAATATAATGTAATATCTGCCTTTATAGTAATTATAAGTATATATTAAGAGTTTTGATTTATAGACACTTTAAAGTTTGCAAAGAACCTTGCAAACATTATACCATTTAGGCCTCCCAACAACCCTGTGAAGGAAGTGCCACAGATATCATTATTCCCATTTACCAAGTTAAGAAATTGAGGCTCAGAAAGGTTGAATACTTTGCAATAGGTCACATAGCTAATAAATATCAGAAGGGAGATTTGAACCTGGGTTTTCTGACTCCAAAAGTAGTGCTCAGCCTCCCAAGTCATAAAAGCTCATATTCATACAGTGCTTGTTGGTCACAAAGCTCTGCGTGTCTCCTTCAGTAATCACAGCAATTCTGTGAGGTAGTGAGTAAAGGTATTATTATTCTTCCCATTTCACAGATATGCAAACTGAATCTCAGAGAAATTAAATGACTGCTCAAGGAAAACCAGCTAGGAAGCAATGGAGCCCAAGTGGAAAACTAGGTTTTCTGACTCCAATGTCAGTGTCCTTTCTATTATGCCTTAATACTTCAATATATGAAAATTCCAGATATAGTGAAATCAGTAAGAGAATCAAAAAGTCCAAAGGAATGACCTGAGTTCAAATCCTGGCTTTGCCACTAACTACCTTGTAACCTTCAGCATGTCACTGAATTTCTCTGGGCCTCAATTATGTCATCTGTAAAAGAAAGCGGTTGGACTCCATGGCGTCTAAAGTCCCCTTTAGCTCTAACCTCTTCATTCCTATAGGAACAGTAGGAAGTACTGGTTATGGGATATATTCTTTGTTACCATTTAGGGTCCACAGAATCATTTGTTGTTGTTCAGTTGTATCCAACTCTTTGTGACTATATGGTCCATGGAGTTTTCTTGGCAAAGATACTGGAGTGGTTTGCTATTTCCTCACACTATTAGTAAGTGTCTGAGGTCAGATTTAAAGTCAGATTTTCTTGACTCCAGGCCCAGCACTCTAACCACTGAGCCATCTAGCTGCCTAATGGAATCATAGATTCTCCCAACTGGAAAGGATCTTAGAGATTACCTAGTTCAACCCCCTCATTTTACAGGAGAGAAAACTTAGGCCCCAAAAAAATTATCACAGGATCAAGACAAAATAACAATATCTGGTAATTAGGTAGCACTGTAAGGTTTGCAAAGTGATGTGTAAATTTGTTTGCGCCTCATAAGAGTCCAGTGCGGTACATATTCCAGTATTAATATCTTCATTCTACAGCTAGGGAAATGAAGCTCAGAGTGAATGAGTGACTTGCCCCTGGATAGACATTTAGTAAATATGAGAAGTAGGATTCAAACCTAGGTCCTCCTAACTCCAAGTCCAATGATACCTTTTCTACTGTACCAGACTGTAGTACCACCAAAGCTTCCCTAATAAACATACTTGGACTTAGCCCCAATTGCCAAATAAATAAATAAACAAACAAACAAACAAACAAGTAGATAAATAAATAAATAAACAAGCAAACAAACA